CATACCCGTGCTCGTGGGTTTCACCGAAGTGGTAAACGTCTGAGACCTGTATCACTTCGGTCTTTCCTCCCACATTAAGCTGACATGCCGTGATATAACTGGAATACTCTTAAAAGCGACGTAAAACGCAACTCACACCCACTCACCAAGATGGCACACGTCTAAATAAGAGCGACTAAACCCTTTCTGCATCACTTCGGGCTTTTCTCCCACATTAAGCTGACACGCCGCGATATAACTGGAATAATGTTAAAAGCGGCGTTAAACCCAACTCACTCACTCTCTCACGCAAGGGTCACATGATCAGAAGATTAGACATATTTAAGGGTCGCGAGGTGTCAAAGTTCAAAAGTTTTAATCGAAGAATTGCATTATGATGTTTGCATTTAAAATCTAATTAATCTATTTCGTCGGATATTCGTGACAGGTTATTCTCGGCGTTGACGTTATATATACGCTTCATGTCAAGATCATTTAAAGCGACTTTCCAAAGATAGATGCTCTGGTTTTAATCTCCAGTCCAACGACGACATTGTGGTAAAGGACGTGTATAGTTAATCTTTGTCATCGCGCTACACAGGAAACTATGTTTCAAAAGGTTTCAAACATTCAGAATAATAGGTATGTCGTGGATGTGAACGTACGTAATGTTCTTAGTGCAACTTAGAATTAACGTAGACCAGGACTACCATTAACATGCGCATGCGCTAGTTCACATACACAATTGATGTGTTTGTGTGTGTGTGTGTGTGTGTGTGTGTGTGTGTAGGGGGTAGGGATGGGGGGGGGGGGGGGGGGGGGGGGCATTAACCTAGGTATGTGTGTACATGTATATATGTGTGTGCGTGCGTACGTACGTGCGTGTCTTTGAGGTACGCCATGTATGTCATTGGGGTGGGAGTTGAGCAGTGTGCAATTGGGGTTTAGCGTCGCGTTCAAAATTATTGCATTCACATAGCTTGCACTAGCCAAGCCCAGTGCCGGTTTTATAGTGCTAGCCCACTGATATACCAGGCCGCAGTTTAACATTGATACCCTAAATACTGACCTAAATACATTCATGTTTGTTTTAAAGCAACTTAGCATTATCACTTCCGTTAATGTTCCCCAAAAAAGCTTCACCCATCATGTGTGTAATAGTTGACAATAAACATAAAAATGCCCACAATTATTTTTCCTTTTAAACTTTTTGGATGTCCCACGACCTTTCGTCAAATCTCCACATGAAATAGGGCAAATATAATTGCTATTATCCTAACAACAAATCTAAGTACAGTCGATCTCAAAGCAAACCATCACATCAAACAAATGTACCCTGTCTACAAGACTTAATCGTTGCGCCACTCAAACCAACGATCTCCAAAAAACGTTATTTGGAACTGCTGTTTAAACAAGCAGCCCAACGAGGAGGACTATGCGTCAGAGCGAGGGGAGGCAGATAGCCATACTGTCTTCATAATGACTTATTGGCTTTTTCAAATGTTTTATTGATCCTGATGTTAGTTGACCGAAGCCGAGATGGGGCTGTAAATCGTAATCCATTGGTAAAGTTTGCACAGTCTTTCGTGAACTTTGTAAGGATCGTTGACGAAGTGATGGCATATATTGGCAATCCGATTTCATCCAGTCTTAAGTGAAAAAAACCGGTTGATATGTCCGCATCTGGTTTCTTTGAAGACTAAATTGGGTGGTCAAAGAATCTACCCATTTGCCGAGCAAGTTTAGCGTTCTGAATGGTACCTAAATTGGTAATCTTTCTTTTTAAATTAAAGTAGAAGCATCTTTAAAGGGGTGTCCTTTTTCGGTACTGGTACAAATTTGGTCTTGTAATTAGTGACTTGTGCCTTCTGAGACATTTTCTGTTTATAATGAGGGAATGCTAAGTTTAGATTAATATCATCGTCAGTGCTTCCCGGGTTTATGTACACTATGTTCATCCATCATCTGTCCGTACATACCCCAGGATGAAGCCACGGCCTCGTTGTTGATTGATGGACACCGACGAGTGCTCACATCAATGAGAGCTCAGATTACATCGTACAAACAGCATCTCGTGAAACATGTGCCACATTCTTATGGTTATCTACTATCACATCGCTTTAATATCAGGCAGGGGGCACGGGTGGCCGAGTCGTCTAAGGCGCCGCGATTTGCTGTGCAGAGTTGCGTCCCTTGGGCACGACAGAAACCTATGATTGTTGGTTCGAATCCCGGTTCGCCCCGATTATGTTTCTAGGTTTGTCAGCACCATACCCGTGCTCGTGGGTTTCACCGAAGTGGTAAACGTCTGAGACCTGCATCACTTCGGGCTTTCCTCCCACATTAAGCTGACACGCTGACATAATGTTAAAAGCGGCGTTAAACCCAACTCACTCACTAATATCAGGCAGTGGTAGGGTTCGCACAAACTTCATGAATAGAACAAGGCACCTTTGAGTGACACGAACTCAAGTTTCATTCGATGACTAACCCCGGGCGTATTCACGGGTGATGGAGAAACAAGGTGTGTTTTAACGCGTGAGGTTTTGGCTATGGGTGGGGGATTGATCTGGATCGAGATAGGATTTTTTTCAGCTACAGCTACAAGCATTATTATTTTTTAAGAATGTTTGTCGACAATTTTTATTTCCGATAAAATCCCAGTCCCACTCCCCAGAATATGAAATAGTCGGTCCCTTAATGATTTTACTTCTGTTTGAAGTTATATGTCTCTGATTTCCTTACAAATATATAAAAGAATGTATCAAAATGATAAGTAATTAAAGAATAAACAATAAAAAATCTCTTATGTCATTGTAATCTATTAAATCCTTTTTGTGAAGTTTTGTGAAATCCTCATTTATCACCACTCGGTTGTTTCCGTTATTCACGGCGAAGTTAGCCGGACCATCACGAGTGATCGAGACTTGTCATGAATGAGCGAGAACAGTTCATTCTTGTAGTTTTTTTTATGTCTACGTCAATTAGTTATTGTCCATTATGATTATGGCGTGTGTAGTGTCTGGTTGAGTTGAAAAGGACAACTATTCATGTGTTCTTGTCCTCAGTGACATTTAATAAAGCAGTGATTTATTTTTCCAATATAAGAAGTTAGGTCGACATCAATCATCTTGTTCTGGGGTGAATGAAATTGTCTTTCTGAGGCCAATAAAACTTCTAATTTAACAGATTCTGATATATGGTCCTCAATGCACTCCTTTGTTCTCAAAACTTTGTATCAGTCGTAGTTGGAGAAAGTTAATCTTCGAATTGATAATTAGGGTTTAATTTTTATTCTCCCCTGCTGAGAGCTTTAACGCCGCGTTTAACAGAACTCCAGTTACGTCACGGCGTGTCAGCTTGATGTGGGATTTGGTTGGTTGGTTGTTTAACGCCGCACTCGGCAATATTCTAGCTATGGTTTAAAAATATTTATTTTCACAAAAGTGTGAAAATGGATTGGTAAACAAGCGAAGCGCTTATGTTAATACCGCTCCATTACACATAGGACATATTACAATGAATACATAAATGAAGATTAGATGTAACAAATAAATTGTACATGCCAAGCTAGATGTGTATATATAATAAATCTATTTGCAGTTTATTTTAAACAATCATTTAACTGGAAATCTGCCAGATTTTAATATAAAGTGTTGAATAGAATTCTAGCTATATGACGGGGGTCTGTAAATAATCGAGTCTGGACCAGACAATCCAGTGATTAATATCATGAGCATCGATCCACGCAATTGGTATACGATGACATGCAGCGAGCCTGACCACCCGATCCCGCTAGTCGCCTCTTACGACAAGCATAGTCGTCTTTTACGGCAAGCATGGGTTGCTGAAGACCTATTCTACCCCGGATCTTCACGGGTTTGATGTAGGAGGAAAGCCCAAAGTGATGCAGATCTCAGACGTTAAACACCTGGGTGTGGTGCTGACAAACCTAGAAACATGATCGTGGCGTCTAAATAGGAATGGACACCTGAAAACGCAGATGGTGGTCAGATGGTGGTTGGAGATTTGGATTTTGGCTGGTCGGTATGAATTATGAAATAATAAATAAAATGGTTATTTGATTGTTCGATAATTGTTATAAATATGGAAATTCAAGTGTTGATTGACTTTCTCAGATTTTTTGAACTGGTTATATTATTAAATGCTCAGTCTCATATCCTTAATTATATTCAAACGTCACATTACGTTAGTGCCGGATTGTCGACAACTCCTTACCGTGTAACTTCCCTTATGTTTGAATATATGTATGACCAGTCGTCTAAGGCGCCTGAGAGTTGCGTCCCTTAGGCGTGCAAAATCAAATGATCCTGGGTTCGAATCCCGATTTGCCCTGATAATGTTTCTAGGTGTGTCAGCATCATGTGGATTGGTTTCACGTCCAAGCCTGGATCATTTCAGGATTCCGTCCCGCATCAAGATGACAGGTCGTATTATAACAGCAATACCGCCAAAAGCCTCATTAAACCAGACTCACTCACTCGCCTCTAAATGCAATCGCCAGGTGAGGTTCCGTATAAACGGGGTCCGGGTTAAGAATGTTTTATGTTATAACAACAAATGGTGAGGTGAGGTGAAATGGGGTTTAACGTCGCGTCCAAGATTATTGCACTTATATAGCGACGTGCATGCACGTGTGTGTGTCTGTGTGGCTGCTTGTACTAGTCCGGACTGATGCCGATTTATAGTGCTAGCCCACTGAGATACCATGCCGCAGTTTAACATAAATACCCCAGTCAGACACAGTATACTGACTACGAGCCGACCAGTCCTTGTTTTAGCCCCTTAATGCCGAGCGCCAGACAGGGTAACAACAAGTACCATCTTTTAACGTCTATTTGTATGACGCGGCTGGGGATCGAACCCCGGACCTTCCGCTCTCCGGGCGGACGCTCTACCATTAGACCACGGAGGCGGTCACACCATGATGGGCAGATATGAGATGCCGAGTACCACACGCAACGCTGAGGTCGTTATTCAGAAAATGCTTGAGCACATACCCTCGTTGTCTCGTGAGTACATCGCGATGACCCAGCAAACACGTTCTCCTCACTTGACTGCCCTTGTAGTGGACATTGGTCAATATCCACTTTCTGTAAATCGATGTCTATTCCACTCGTCCCTCTGAAATGAGAAATAACAGTTAGGCTTGTTTGATGAAAACAATGAATTAATACGAAAGTGACGTAGCCAGAGAATAATCTTGGCAATCTGAAGATGAAGTCGATGGGAAACGTCATAACTGTCTGGATTATGAATTGCAGATACATTTGTTACCAAATAGAACATTTAGAAGGAGTCGTTACAAAGAAACGCGAGGGCATTATAAGTACGCCGTATTTTCATAATTGCACAGTCTTTGAACTGTTTCTATTTCTGGTAATTCGTAGACAAATTTGCTTCTGGCATTGAGAATCTGTGCCATCAATTATAATTGATTTATACCATTGCCAACATCGGAAACAAACGGACTAATTGTTCAGCAGGATTTGCTCGACTTCTCTAATATCACAATTGCACATCCTTCAACTTGGACATCGTTCGAGGCGTATTTTTTATGAGCACAAGTCTAAAAGCGTCGTGGTCATAAACACTAAGGCAAAAGAAAGTATACCGATTTTGTTTTTAGTGTAATTGAAAAAAAAGAGATCTGTTCTTGTTGAATTTGATTATGTCTACATAACCATCACTCATTCCAGTTTGTGAAAAGTACTCTGTGGTTGGGTAATCTTGTGTAAAAATAAATTGGTTCAATAAAGACTGGGGTAAGAAATGAATTTGGATCCTCATGACCCCATTTGTGCGAAAAAGCAAATTTATTGATTTAAAAAGATAAGGTGTCTAAGATACACATCATCAGTTGTGTATTATACGAAAACTTTTTACATATCTGTATAAGTTTTGTATTCAAATCATGTTTATAAAATACAACCATGTAGACGTATTCTTTGAATGCTTGCTTAGCACCAGTAGAATTGTTTTTTGGGAGATAATATCGCCAACGTAAGATATTATTAATTAAAAATGTCATAATATCATCTGAGAGGTATAGTTTCTTTTGCTTCACAGTTTATTGGAAGTGAGTGGGTGAGTGATTTGGGTTTAACGCCGCTTTTAACATTATTTCAGTTATATCACGGCGTGTCAGCTTAATGTGGGAGGAAAGCCCGAAGTGATGCAGGTCTCAGACGTTTACCACTTCGGTGAAACCCACGAGCACTAGTATGGTGCTGACAAACCTAGAAACATAATCGGGACGGACCGGGATTCGAACCCACAATCACAGGTACCTGGCGTGCCCAAGGGACGCAACTCTGCACAGCGAATCGCGGCGCCTTAGACGACTGGGCCATCCGTGCCCCCCTTATTTGAAGTGAGGGGCGGTGGAGTAGCCCAGTGGTTAAAGCGTTCACTCGTCACACCGAAGCCCCGATTCGATTCCCCAGCGTCTTTACAATATGTGAAGCCCTTTTCTGGGGTCCCCGTTATGCTATTCCTGGAATATTCGTAAAAGCGGGGTAAAACCATACACACTCACTCACTTTTCTGAGTGAACTCATCAATTCTTTGTCTTATTCCAGATTCACTATAGTAATATGAAATTAATCCGGCCATGGTATGAAAGATGAACTATAGAAATATGAAAGAATAGGGTGGTTCTTAACTTCTTTTGAGTAGTGTATCAAATATATAACACAACTCTGTGACAGAACGGGGGCACGGGTACCAAGTCGTCTTAGAAGATGTTACTGGCGTTCCTAAGTCGTACCAAATCATATGACTTTGGTACGAATCCAGTATTCTGATAATGATTATTAGCTTATCAGTTGCCAAATGCTAAAACGCCTAGACCTGAATCACGGTATGTTGTCCTCGCTAGTAAGCTGGAATTTCGTGTTCTAAATGAAATTGAATTCAAAGGGACAAAACACCCAACTCACTCTATGACATGAGTAAGATTGTGACCTGTCAGTGGACCCTAAGGAATAGGAACGAGTAGTTAGTTGGGTTAGATGTGGCTTCTTACAAGTATTCAATCTTAACCTGTCAGGTCGGTAGAAGGTCCAACATGACACAGGCACGTCCGCAGGTATTTTTGTTTGTTTGTTGTTTAACGCTGCAGTCATATATTCAGTCATTTTTATCAGTCAGAGTTGGAGAAAGTTAAGGGGATTTTTTTTATTCTGTTCCTGCTGAGTGTGCTTCAACGCCGCGTTTAACAGAATTCCAGTTACATCACAGCGTGTCAGCTTGATGTGGCATTTGGTTGTTGGTTTGTTGTTTAACGCCGCACTCAGCAATATTCCAGCTATATGACGGGGTCTGTAAACAATCGAGTCTGGACCAGACAATCTACTGATTGATATCATGAGCATTGAAATACGCAATTGGGTTACGATGACATGCATTAACCAAGTCAGCGAGCCTGGCCACCCGATCCCGTTAGTCGCCTCTAACGTCAGCATAGTCGCCTTTTACGGCAAGCATGGGTTGCTGAAGACCTCTCTGTTCACGGGTCCCGCACTCACTACTTTGGTTAAGCCCACGAGTGAGTTTCGTTTATTAAGCTTCACATGTAACGGGAACGCTTCTTTCAATTTTGTTACGATAAGTGGGATTGGTTTAACGCCTCTTTGAACAATATGTCATTCATGTCACGGGTTGTCAACTTGATGTGGAAAGAAATCCCGAAATTATGCATGTTACAACTTCGATGAAGCCAACGAGCATTTGTATGATGTTGTAGCCACAAGCATTGATAAGGTATTGGTAAAACCAAGGAACACATTCAATGAGAATCTTGGATTTGAAATTCCAGACCAATCGACGAGGCGCAATTGTTAACAGCCTTAGATCTCTATCCAGCTGATCCCATGTGGTATAAGTCAACACCAACAAAATATACTCACAATCGTGGACGCTTTTAAGACCTTTTAAAATGAGAGAAATTCCCAATAGCCAAATAGCTGTAAAAAGAATCACGTCTTATTTTGGAAGATAGGATAAATACGCATCAAGGGACTTACGAAGTCATGTTTGTGAGCAGGTCTGTCCCAAAACAATTGGTAAAATATTGGAAATTCAGTAATAGACAAATATACTAGCGCAATTTCTGCAACAAATGATGTTATTATATTTTTTTCAAATCTGCATATTGGGACAAGGGTTATGTCGTTGCAGACAGTGTGTGACTCAGGGGGGCATCAATCTATGCCCTAATATCTTTACCAATCGTAAAATGATATATTTTTTCTCTCCTTTCCTAGGAGCGGGAATATGACGAATATTGGTCTGGACGTGAGGCATTGCGATTATCCCTATATTTCATACCATTGTCAATATATTCCTAAAAATGTACTCCTAAATTGCAAAGATCGACGCCGCGATTAATCACGATGTTAACTTGAAACCAATCATCGGGCTTTTCCGTCACCCGAACGGCGTTGCGAGCACAGGCAAGCGCGCGGACGTCGGAGAGAGCAAACAGGAAATCCCATTCGGGTGATAAACACGACACACACATGGCCTCGGAACGATTTATTCTCTACTATCTTATGCGTTGGCATGAGTTGGGGATGGGTTGGTCAAGAAACCGGAATAGTTCACATATCTTTGAGAATTATGAGAATTTTTTTTGGTAGGGAATTTAATAACAAATTCCTCTCTGGTCACTGCATGAGATGTAATTTCCTGTATGTGATCGTTGTTTGGGATGCTAATGTTTCACGCGATGCAAAGATCCCATCATTCCAATAACAAACAGTATAAAGAAAATTCGAAATGACAGCGCATATTGAAATCAGAGCGTTATTCAAATGCCACATTTTGCCCGTAGTTTTATTCTGACATTAAACGGAACGGCGCAGTTCATAGTGCAAGACAACTATCCTCCGGAGTCTGATTCGATCCATAAACATCTTTACACGTACTTTGCATCTGGAAGTTTCTAATTTTCTGGTTTCAGATTTGAAGTGTTCATTTCTACAAAAAATTTGATCAGCTGTAGATGTAGATGAAAGGTGAGATGTGTTTAACGTCGAATTCAATATTATTGCACTTACATGTATATGGCGTCGTGCATGTATGATGTGTGGCTGCTTGTGCTTGTCCGATCTAGTGCCGGAGTTATAGTGCTAGACCCCTGAGATACCCTGCCGCTGTTTTAACATTAATATCCCAATCAAACACAATATACTGACACTTTACGATCAGGCCTTGTTCACCCCGTCAATGTCGAGCGCCAGGCAGGGCAACAACAAGTACCATCGTTTTACGTGTTTTGGTATGACGTGTCAGACGCTGTACCACAAGACCACATAGGCTGTAGTAATATATGTAGACGTAGCCGTAGATACATGTATAGTTGTAGCTGTACATCAAGGTGTGTATGTAGTTGCAATTGTAGTAGTAGGTGTAGATGTAGATATAGCTGTATAAGTAGATGCAGACTTAGGAGTAGATGCACGTGTAGATATTGTAGATGAAGCTATATACAGGGGACGGGTAGTCCTTTAGTATAAAATATCTTGATGTTTGTACATAAACTGAACATATATAAAAAACCGCATCTATGATATCACAAGAAGGTTTCATATGGATTCATGGGCACGTAAATGGACCATAGGTCTAAGACGATACAGCTGCAGAGTTTCGCCCCTTAGCCTATCAGGATCCGCTTGTTATTTTCAAGCTCATGTTAGATTAGCGGAAGTACATCTCAAATGTATGAATTCTCGATTTATTGATCAGTGTAACTGATATGACGTCGATGCAGTTTAATGAGCATCTCAAATAGAATATTACCTCTTTATAACGAGTTCACTCACAAGGGGCACGAGTGGCCCAGTCGTCGAAGGCGCCGCTGCAGAAACCTGTGATTGTGGGTTCCAATCCCGGTTCGCCCCGATTATGTTTCTAGGTTTGTCAGCACCATACTCGTGCTCGTGGGTTTCACCAAAGTGGTAAACGTCTGAGACCTGTATCACCTCGAGCTTTCCTCCCACATTAAGCTGACACGCCGTGAGATAACTGGAATGCTCTTAAAAGCGACGTTAAACCCAACTCACACCCACTCACCAAGTTGGGACACGTCTAAATAAAAGCGACTAAACCCTTTCCATAAT